CTAACCGTTGAATTACCGTCGCGCAAAAGCCTTCAGAATTGATAGTAAAAATCTCATATTTGTCTTCTTTTCTTTTATATGTTATCGCGAGAAGGAGGAATTAAAATTTCCGCTTCCTATCTTGCAGACCATTGGATTGAAATAAAAGTTATGCAATGGCGTCGGCCGGGAGTCGAACCCGGGTCAATTGTTTTGGAAACAGCTATTCTGACCGTTCAACTACCGACGCGCAAAATGACTTCTGGTTATTTCAGGCAGTTGATAACAGAAACTTCTTTATTATATGCAAATATTACCTCATATTTCATCGATTGGTATCGTATTTGTAAGTAACATTTCAATTTTTTCAAATGCACTTGGTTACTCAAAATGAATGTTTTGTGAGGCACTCCCAGTATAACATTTGAAAGTATTCTGTCTGAATGTTATTAACATTGCTGTGAATAATTTTTAGCCATAATTAACCTTATTATTCGAGGAACGGGAAAAGGTATGCAATTCCCAACAGGTTTATTATCTCCTTTTAGCCTCTCTTTGGAAGGGGCATTGGAGCATAATCTCAATAATCATCGATGTAACGGAGTACCGGAATAACTGTTTTAGTCAAAATAGTAATTATTTGAAATGATAATGCAACTTTAACATTTGTTGAAGTGTAATTGTCATAATTAGTATTCAAAATCTTTTCCATCAATGTTCAATTAATGCCGACAACAAGCATCACCGAATGCAGGTCTGTAAAAGAAAATTATTGTATTTAATTGTTAACAGAAACTATTCTATATATGTAAATACTACCTTATATTTCATCGATTGGCATCATATTTTGTAATACATATCTAAACTTGTTTTTCAAATGCACTTGGTCTCCCATAAGATATATGTTCTTTGAGACACATCCAGTATAACCTCTATAAATGTTCGGTCTGAATGATATCACCATTTCTGTAACCATCAAACAATTATTAACAATAATAATACCTTAGTTAGCGAGGAAATGGGATAGGCCTGTTATCCCCAATTGGTCTGTTATCTCCTATTAGCCTCCCCTTGGTAAGGGGCATTGACCTCTTTCCTATACA